AAAAAAAGCTTACCAGGCACACCCCTGCAGAAACGGGACTTGGGGTAGGGTTTGTTTTTGCAGTAGCGATAGCTAAAGGAGAGAAAATTTAAAGGAAAAGAAAAATTACACCTGCTGCCTTACATGTCAAGACATTTAATCTAAAATAAAAAGGAGAAATGTCTGAGAAATGAACCATTTAAAACCCATTACAGTATTCTTTTTACTATTTTTTAAAGCCCTGATTAGATACTACTTAAACATAAAGGAATTGATAAATTTAACTTCTCTACAGGCAGTAAAGTCATTATCAATACACTGAAATCTGTATGAACTTTGGCAAATTTATAGGAATTTTCACATTCAGTCTTGATTTAAAGAGTTTTTTATGTTAAATTGACTGGTCTTGAGTGTCACTAACTTTAAATAAATACCGTATAAATTATAGAAAGGTATGTCCCACCATTACTGGGCTTCACAGCCACAAATATCACAAAACTAATCAAATCCTGAAGGCAAACTTCTGGTTAGCTACACTATGCTAACAGCTCTTAGCCTTGAAAAGCTAACGCCGAATAGGAGTAAGTCGACTTAACAACATCGCCGGTTTAAATGAGCAGTGACAAAAGACAAAACCAGATATATTTAGATAAATTCAGGTGTTTAAGTGCTACTAATAAAGCCCAATTGGGGAACTGCCGGCGAATTAGCGGAGTCCACATGGTGCTAGCCGTAGCCGCTGCCATTTTCCTTTTTCAGGCCCGATTTAAAGTGTTGGAGAAACGGACTCACCATCGGGCTGGTCGGCGGCCCATGGTTGCAATCTGTAGGGCAACACAGAAAACTGATGTTTAGACAAACCAGCGCTGGTATGTGTTAAATAAGTCAGTAATTTTGCCTTTTTGGTGGAGAGCCGAAGAAAACGCGCTGCCACCACGCACTCACCTAATGGAGGAAAGGAAGAAGAATCCACTTCCGCTTCGTCATGACGACGAAGGTCGACTCGCGAGACGTTATATACTAATTAATAAGTTAAACGTTTTCAACTGAGTTATCTTTAAAATACAAGTTTTTCTAATAAAATTACGAAAAATAAATGTTTAAAATATGTTTGTTTTTTTACAACATGAAGTCGAAAGTTCGAAAGGCATTCTGGGAAATGTTGTTCACTTCAATTCAGTAGCTTTATTTGTCCCGTTATGGACAATCTTTGTGCAGTAGTAGTACACTTTTCACACACACACACACACACACACACTCACACTTCACACATAAAAACACAAGAAACATATACAATATTTTTAAAAGATAAAAGATCGATTTAAATTAAATTATTTAAATTAATGATTTAAACGTTTTCAACTGA